AATGACCTATCCCCAGATGTGCTCCACAATGACCTATCCCCAGATGTTTCTGTTGGCAGTTAGGATGCCTGCTTGGTTTACTAAAGGCCGTTTTAAAGAGGAAGTATGAAACTAAGTTATAAAAATCAGTAATAGTAGGGATCATCTTTTAAAAGACAACCGAAGAGACAGCGTTATGTCAGGAAAAGGTTGAGACAGCAGGCCTTCCGTCGTCCACAGCACAGTGACCTCTCCTGCCAGTGACGTACCTTGATTGTGAATTTACCAAGTGGACTATGCATGCATTGTTTCAGCTAACAATCCTCTACAAGTAATCCTCTAAAATAAAATACTGTGTGTTACTCCTATTTTGATGGTGAAGAAGATAAGACTTAGCGAAATAAAGTAATGATAGCCACCAGTCCCATGGGATTATACATTGGATGTTTAGTTGAAGTATGACTACTCCAACTACTGAAAAAAGGAATTTTTTATTTTATTAAATTAAAACTTTGTGTTTGTTTTTCTTAATTGAAATGGATTCACAACAGCCAGTTGCTATTGTATTGGGTAACAACTCTAGAACCTTCCTAAATTGTTCTCCAGTCCTCTCCGAATCAACTCTCAAAACTAGAGCACGAGGAAAAGACGGAGTGGAGAAATGTTCACATTGTCAGTTCTGTAAAGCCGTGGACAGGGTGCTCTCTCCGTGAGTCTCTCAATATCAGTTAGACGACAATCACTTATAATGATAGTATTAACAGTGACTGAGCTTTTAAAGGTGAATATTGCGTGGTGTTTATGATTGGATTATGACTCAGATCTTTCAGCCAACTCATTGGTTAGTCATTACTGTTTATTTAGGATGAAGCATAAGAAATGGGCACAAAGATCAGAGCCCTAGGAAAGGAATACTTCCTTTACTTCGATTTTGGAAGAATTTGTGGTTTATAAATATTAGATACTGTGCTTTTTCTCCCATCCTTAAGATCCTAATACATGCATTGCCCCCTTCCTCAGAACACACCTGCGTAGGACAGGCTGGGAATACAGTCTAGCCGCCTGCCAGGAGGAAAAGGCATTTGCCAAACAGCAGTCTCTACAAGCATGAACAAACTCTTGGCAAGGAACTTACTAATTTTGTCTGTTTCAAATGCTCTTGCTTTAAGAAGTAAGAGATCTGACTTTTTTTTCTTTTTTGATAGGGCTATTAGTTATATTAAGAAAATTACCTTCCAATATGCTGAAGCTTAATTCAATAAAGCATTCCACAGAGCCGCTGAGGAATAAGAGCTAAGCTGAATGCTGCCTGGGTATTGACTGACTCCAATGGTCCTAGACCATTAGATACAGTGGTCCTTTCTGGCACACATGCTCTGGATTCCAGCCCTTCGAGTTACTTTAAACTAATTTAGCCTTTTAAATATATATTACTGGTTATCTGAGTTTTTGAGAGAATTATTTACAGTGCTGTTTTAATTAATTAGTAATTTTTTAAAAACCAATCTTTTCTCATTTTACATACCAATCCCAGCTCCCAGTTCCTCTCCTCCTCCCACTCCCCCAGCCTTTCCTTCACCTCACCCCCCGTCCACTCCTCAGAGAGGATAAGGCTTCCCATGGGAGTCAACCAAGTCTAGTGCATCTAGGAGCAAGGCCTCCCCTCTATATCTAGACTGAGCAAGGTATCCCTCCAAAAAGAATGAACTCCAAAAAGCCAGTTCAAACACTAGGGATAAATCCTGGTCCCACTGCCAGTGGCCCCACAGACTGCCTCAGCCACACAACTATATGGTAGTGTATTTTATTGATAACCTATGAAAATAACCCTTTTTGTTGGTTTGTGTTTTGTTTTTCAAGACAGGGTTTCTCTGTAGTTTTTGGAGCCTGTTCTGGAACTAGCTCTTGTAGACCAGGCTGGCCTTGAACTCATAGAGATCTGCCTGTCTCTGCCTCCCAAGTGCTGGGATTAAAGGCGTGAACCACCACTGCCCAGCTGAAAATAACCCATTTTTAAGTAAAGGATAATTTGCATCTCAAATAAAATAATAATGACACCATTAAATATATTAAGAGATAGCATCCATCAGCATGACTGTAGCTCAGCTATTTTTAAGCATAGTCCCAGAGTTCACCAGAGAGAACTCAAAACTGGCAACACAAAGAATACGTGTAGCTCTAGCTGCAGGTGGCACCCTCGTTCATGTGTTAACAAGATACACATACCCAAGCATTGTTGATTTAAAAACACAAAGTAGTAAGTCATACATGCTTGTAGTCCCAGATGTGATACGCAGAGGCAAAGATGGCTAGAATTTGAGGTGAGCCTGGGTTATGCTGTGAGGCCCTGTACAGAAAAACACCTTTAAGACAATGAGCAGTTATCCTCTGATACTGACTGGTGACATTGTTTCTTATATTGCATGTGAAGACTTTAAAGGGACAGTGGGGGAAACTTTCATGACATGGTGATTGTGTACAATGTGTGTTTTCTTGTTTCAGGACTTCCAACAGCAGTCAGACACTGTCATCCTGCCATACTATGGAGCCATGCTCATCAGATGAATTCTTCCAAGCCCTTAACCATGCAGAGCAAACATTTAAAAAAATGGAGAACTACTTGAGACATAAGCAATTGTGCGATGTCATTTTAGTCGCTGGCGATCGCAGGATTCCAGCTCACAGGTAATGACTTTGAGAACTTCTGTCCATGTGAAATATTCCCTAGATAACTTATATGTGGTGAGATGACGCACCCCTTAGACTTCAGGGAGGGATCCAACTCAGAGTGTCTGAAAGAACACCACACATGAGATTACTCAACATAAATATCCCTGTCGTCTTTTGCGAAAACACAGGCATTAGCCTCACATCAGTCAAGATTGTTTGTTGTAGATATCGGCTACAATAAACAGTTTTCCTGCATATTAAATACTTGTTAAATACTTTAAATAAGCTTTATGGAAATTAGAGTTTGTATAGCCAGAAGCAAAACATCTCACAGAATAGAATTCATGGAATCGTAACAGTTTTTCTTTTCCTTTTTTAACGCTGTGCAATGAACCCAGGCCTGCATGCTGAACATGTACCCTGACCACTTAGGCACACTCCTGCCCATTAGCAGGTTTTAAAATCCCTGTGTATTCCCTAATTTTGTTTTTGCTGATCTCTATGAAGTATGAAAAATAAGAGTGGAGGTGGGGATCCTTTAACACAAATGGCATATTTCTTAAGGTAAAAAGAAAGAAAAATGTTTAGGAAAGAAAGATTCATTTTCTTCTGATAATTTTATATTCGTTAAGTTATTCATTGTTAATTACCACTACGATCACAAAGATTATTTTATGTCTTTCAATAGCAATTAGCATTGTCCAAAAGTTTTTGTAAAACCCTTGAGTTTATAGCTGTCAGTTAGCATGCATTTATTGACAAATTCGTGTGATAAAAAGCCTGGGTTATGAACATGGTCTCTTAGAGAAGAGATTTCAGCATGGATTTCCCAGAGGCTCTGAGCTGAGCTCATCATCTCAGCCAGGCGTGTGCTGACCCCACCACTCACTCAGATGACCCCACGGGCTCTCTGCCCCCTCCTCCCCTGCACTGAACAGCTTTCAGCGACTCCCAGGTCACTGAGTTGAAAACCAAAGTACATTTGGCGACCTGCGCAACCCAGCTTACCGTTGCCCCTCTGGTGCTCTGTCCTCCACTCTCCCTGCTCACTGGCAGTAGCCTCACAGAGCCCTCGGGCTGCCTGGACACTACCGTGGGCTCCTTCTCCCCAGTGCTATCCCGGCACCTCCAGAACTAAAGTCTTCACCTCCCTCAATAATAATAATTTTAAGCAACCAGTCTCTGCCCGAGTGACACCATCTATCTTTGGCCTATTTTTTTTTGTTCTATAGTATTTACCACCTTTTTTTATTAACTATACCAGACTGTAACAACAACAACAACAAAAGTATTAAAAGCTTGAAATATTATAATATTTGCTAACACCATTTTCAAGTATGTTCTACATGTTCACTTCTGCCCCAAATGGTTTCGGTTATTTTCAAAACTGACAAAAAGAAAAATAACCTTTATATTTTTTTTCCATATATACAGTCAACTTAATACCAAGTACTTATAACTTTTTTTAAAAGATGTCATAAAGTGGTGTTTGCATAGGAAAACCATTTATCTCAGCAGGAAATTTTCGGCAATAGTAATTTATTATTCAAAAGCAGGAAGTTGAGCACAAAGGGCTTTGTCAAAGGTACGGTACATTTGCTGGTACTGTGCACTCTTGTGAGTGCCAGAGGAACCAGGAAGAGAATGCATTTATTAATGAACACTCAGCTTTAATGTACTCATTGATTGCTTTTCTGATGTATCCTCAGACTGGTGCTCTCCTCCGTCTCAGATTATTTCGCTGCTATGTTTACTAATGATGTCAGGGAGGCAAGGCAAGAAGAAATAAAGATGGAAGGCGTGGAACCGAACTCGTTGTGGTCCTTAATTCAGTACGCATACACAGGTAACAAGTCAGAAAATAAACGAAAACCCTTTAGACTTATGTATTTTGATTTTAGCTTTGATTTGTTTGCCTTTCTCTTCTGTTTGTGTTTCTCGAACAAGGTGTCATATATTCAAGCTGACATTGAACTCAATGTGTAGCCAAGGCTGGCCTCAAATAGTTCCTCAAAAAAAGCCTTCTTACTTCTCCGAGAGTTCAAATTTCTCTCTCTGAATAAAGCAATCTGTAGTTCAGTTTAGTTCTGTTATGGGCATCACTGTCTCGGATGCTGTTCTGTATTGGTTAAAAATCTCTATGTTAAAACCTTTTAAATGATTATCAGGATGAAGCTTGTGAATGTTTTTGAAGATTTTTTTAATTTGTGTGTGTGTGTGTGTGTGTACCTGTACTTGTGAGTGTAGCAGATGACTATGGAGACCAGAGGCATAAAAATACCACAAGTAATCACATTGAGTTGGGTTTGGGAAAATTACTCAGTAAATAAGAGCAGTTGTTTTGCAAAATGAGGACCTAAGTTCAAAATCACCAGCACCCACATAAAATTTGGATGTGGATGTATGTATCTGTAACCCCAGTACTGGAGGGTAGAGGCAGGATTTTGCTGGCTGGCCTGCCAAAGTAAAAAAACTATGAGCGCCATGTTCCGTGGGAGACCCTGTCTTGGAAATCAAGCAAAGGAAGATAAAACAAGGTGCTTGATGCCCTCTCTGCACTCCACATGCACACACACACACACACACAATTACATACAGTCTCTCTCCCCCTCTCTCTGTGAGCTATGTAATATAGACAAAATTTTACATTTAAAATTTAAGAGTTATATAATCCTAGATATTAGTTACTAGTTAATATAACATTTAAAAATTCTGAAAATAAGCATTCTTCTTTTTTTTCCTGCTTTGAGTTTTTTGTTTGTTTGGTTAGTTGGTTGATTTTGTTTTGTTTTGTTTTGTTTTTTAAGGGTTTCTCTGTGTAACAGCCCAGGCTGTCCTGGAACTCTCTTTGTAGACCAGGCTGTTCTCAGACTCACAGAGATCCACCTGCCTCTGCCTCCGGCGTGCTAGGATTAAAGGTGTGCGCCACCATCCCAGCTGCCATTTTTTTTTAAGTAGAGGTCACAAAGGGATAAATTATTCACATTTAATATTAAACCTTTAGGGTCTGTAATGTGTGAATGAGCTTTTATTTAGAAATCCGTTGTTAACAACAGTCATTGTATGAAAACAAGACTCACAAAGCTCCCTCTCCCTCATTGATGGAATTTCCTCCTGTTAGGTCGCCTTGAACTAAAAGAGGATAACATCGAGAGTCTACTGTCTACCGCGTGCCTTCTCCAGCTCTCCCAGGTTGTGGAAGCGTGCTGTAAATTTCTAATGAAGCAGCTGCACCCGTCCAATTGCCTTGGAATCCGTTCTTTTGCCGATGCCCAAGGCTGCACAGATTTGCATAAAGTGGCCCACAACTACACTATGGTATGTATTTTCTGAAAATCAGAATCTTCGTCACCCCATTTCTTACCTTCAAAAGCTTATCTCCCTGTTACTGGCTTCATGTGGTTTTGAGGTTCAAGTTCATGATGCGGCCCTGAGCTGGGGAAAGGAAACTAGCGGAATGTCTCCTGATGGAGAATCTCATGGCAGGTGTGCCGCTGTAGAAGTGGGGTTTCCTCAACATTCCACTGCAGCCGTGGGTAGACTTCAGACCCGTCACGGAGTCACTGGTGGAAACTGCTCACGGTGGTTGTAGTATTGTGATACAGTGTAAGAAGAAAGGATGAATGGGAGGCCTCCTACTTCAGAGGCCTCTGATTACACGCAGGGCTTGCCACCACGTAGAACAATACCCTTATTAAGTGCGAGAATTGTGTGTTCAAAAGAAATCAGAGGAGGTTCTGATTCAGCAGCCTGAGAGATCATGGAATATGGATGATCTGGTGAAAACTCTGCACAGCAGCACGGCACTATGCAGTGCGAGCTCAGTGTTTTTAAATTAAGTCCTTTGAATCTACCCACTTCACCTTACTTCTTTGTAGATTCCCATTTCTTTCTCTAATGTGTATGAGTGTATTGCCTATGGACATTAGTGCACCACTTGCATGCCTGGTGCCTGTGAAGGTCAGAAGTGGGTGTTGGATTCCCTGGAACTGGAGTTAGCTGCTCTATGGGTGCTGGGAATCGAACCTGGTTCCTCTAGAAGTGTAGCCAGTGGTCTTAACTGCTGAGCCACCTCTCCAGCCCCTCATTTTTTGACTTCATATCTGCAGTTTTAAACACCTTCTGGAATAAGATAAATGTAAGTAAATAAAACACCTCTTGGTTTGTTTTCTTCCTACTAAGTTTATAACTTAATATCTTCCTTTTTGTTAATATTATATTTTTATTACATATATTTAAGTGTGAGCAAGTGCACACATGGAGGTCAGAGGACAACTTGCAAGAGTCAGTTCTTGCCGGGCGGTGCTGGCACACGCCTTTAATCCCAGCACTCAGAAGGCAGAGGCAGGTGGGTCTCTATGACGTCATGGCCAGCCTGGTCTACAAGCGCTAGTTCCAGGACAGACCCCAAAGGCTACAGAGAAACCCTGTCTCAAAAAAAACAAACAAAAAGAACAAAACAAACAAAGTCAGTTCTCTCTTCCCTGAGCCACATCACACACACACACACACACACACACACACACACACACACACACACACACACACACACCCCGGCCAAGCTCTCTTTCCTAGGAAGGACTTTGTACACATGTGAAAACATTTGTATGCATTTAGGTCACTCCTGTTGTTTACAGTACAGGCATGATTGCTGCTCCAAGGTTTAGATGCAAATTCAATTGGAATTAGCTGGATGTTTTTAGAGCTATTTTCATAGCCAATTAGTCGCAGTAGATTTTTTTATGTCAAGGTCATTACTTGACATTACTTAGTTTCAATAGAGAAACTCGATGGAACTCTAATAACAATAAGTAATTTAGAGGCAGATTGTCTGATTTGAATGTTGCTATGGGAACCGAATAAGAATGTAAAGCAAAATTCAATCTCCAGTTTAAATAAATCCCTCAGTAATTTCATTTGCTTAAGAAACGATTCTGAAGGGGGAAAGGGCGCCTCTGGCAAGCGCCTGGTAGGTTGGTGGCTGCTTCTTCCGTAAAACAGGTTGGAAGTAGGAGGACAAGCACGCTGCTGGGCAGTGAGTTCAGTCAGTGCAGGTCGGCATACAGGGCACATGCATACATCCTGCATACGCACGGGCAGGAACAGGTGTGAGCTCCTGGGGAGGCCAGAGTCTGGAAACTTCTGTTCCACTACTCCATTGCCTCTGAACATGGCCTGGAGCATTTCATTTAGAACACTCTAGATTAGCTTATCATTACAACTACTTCATATCACTAGAGTTTCTTATGAAGCAAGCAGCCTTGACTTTTACAATTCTAAATGTGATTTTTCAGTCTAGAAAATGTTTTTTTTTAAAAAAAAAATCATTTAATTCTTCTAAAATAGCTACTTTAAAGCAAAGCCATGCTTTTGAAAGGAATTTTGTGTTTAAGCTTGCCCCAGTAGTATTGTGTAACCGTGGGAAAGCTCAGCTCCCATGCAGTATAAATTAGGCTGGAGTGAAAAGGGCATCCCTCCGAAACAGACACAGGAACAGTTTGTCATGCAGCCTCCTCATCCTGATGAAATGCAGCTAATACCATAGGGAAGTAGAGCAGCAATCACATTAGTGTTGTGCAAAGGTGTTGCCTAGCCATACTTGGACCCAGGCTGGCCTCAAATCCACAGTCCTCCTGCCTCCTGCTCCTCAAAGCTGGAATCGCAGGTTTGTGCCCCCATGCCTAGCCACACCATATCGTTAAATGACCAGAAATACTATTTACATCTCAAGACTTTCACCCAACATTATATATTAAATATCTTTACATACAACTATGTGATCTTCTTCCAAATTCTTATTGCCTGCTTAATAATCATTGAGCTATGACTTTCTAGAGCTGGACATTTGGTCTATTATACTATAAACTGATACTAAGAGAAGCATTTGTATTGTAAAGATTTGGCTTTGTTTCCCATTGTGCAAAGTATTTCTTAAGTATTCACATGTCAGGTGGGATGACCAGGCTGGGGGGTTTTACAGCGCTGGGGGTTGAACCCCAGGTCTCACCCATGCCAGGCAAACCCTTCTCTACTGAGCTACAGCCCCAGCCTAGTTTTGATCATTTTTGGCTCTTGCTGTGTGTTCCCAAATCATCTTATAATGTCAGTCAGCAATTGAGTAGAACAGTTTGCTTGAAGCCATTCTAGCACTGAGATTTTATTAAAATATGTTCCTGAAAATGATAATCAATCATATAAAGTAGATTCACTTTGGTATCTTTTAACAAATCATGATGAATTGGAGCAATTGAATTTAGTTAATTATTCATGAATGGTTTTCCTCCTAAGACTCTGCTGAAAGGAACGTCAGCCCAAGATAGATTTCAGATCAGTATCTCGCTTGGGTTACCACAGGCTAAATGGAAAATATGATTCTCATTTTAATCTGGAAGATAGTTATTGATAGGCCTTATCTCTGGCTCTCATTTAAGCAGTGTTAGCTATTTCACTAAAACCCTGCGTGCCGAGGCAGACAGTGCATTAGGAAGTGTAAGAGAAACATTACAAGATCACGTCTGGAGTTTGTATTTATATCCGTTATTTGTTAAGACTTAGAGACTTCAAAGCAGAGAGGGTGAGATTTCTTTCCTTCAGGCTGGAGAGATGGAGCTGCGGCTGTGTACAAGATGGCTCACAACTACCATGACACTAGCTTCTGGCCTCCGCAGACGCTGCACCCACACACAGACACAAACGCGTGCATATGCTTAAAGGAAGAGATTTTTAGAGAAGATTTCTTTCTCTCCAGATCAATTAACATGATAATGATAAACAAGTTGTTTCACTCCTTGGGCATGTCTAGTGTCCCATTTCCAGTCGCAGAGGTTTTGATTCTACCATGCAATCAGGACTCAGTCATGCGCAGTCCCAGGTCCTGCTCCTAGGACATGCTAGCTTAACAGTTTGCTTTGGTTCTTTTTGCTAATAGCAAACTAACTCTGCATAAATCAGATTAGAAGAGATTTGAGTTTTCTAAGTAGACCTGAAATCCTGGGTGGTCTTCTAAAAATCATAGGAATGTTTTTGAGCTCTGTGTGGTCGCACATCTCCATGATCCCAGAAGAACCTCAAGTTCAAGGCCAGCCTGGGCTGTGTAGGCAGACCCTGTCTTTAAAACAAAACAGCTCAGAACAACACATTAATGTCTGCTTTGGTTGTAGAATAAGCTTAAAGTCTTCTGCCATGACAGGATATAGGCCTTTGATCTAGACTCTTAGGAAGCCTGGTCAGCTTAGAGCCAATTCCTGGGTCAGAAGCACCTTCGCTGCTGCCTAAATTCCTTAAGAACCTGATATTGCTCATTCTCCTTGGTGTTTACTTCATTTTTCAATCTCCCTTCAGAAACTTCATCAAAACTATTCCCTAACTTGAGCAATGCAGTAAATAAATGTCATAGGTCCACTTCATAGTGTAGCAAGCCGACAATGTTTCTACTCACACATTTAACGAGAGGTCCAGGTTAGTGTTTCTCCCGGCTTTCTTTCCTAACGGGTGGCTATAAAATTGTGTCGAAAGCACAAAGTATTCTGGACACCTAATATAAAAAATTTAGCTTCTTTCATGTAAATAGTGAAGGCTAAATGGAATAATCTCACTTATTTGCCTTTTTCCCCCAGGAACATTTCATGGAAGTAATCAGGAACCAGGAGTTTGTCTTACTCCCAGCCAATGAAATCGCAAAGCTCTTGGCCAGCGACGACATGAACATCCCTAATGAGGAGACAATACTGAACGCACTTCTTACTTGGGTCCGGCATGATTTGGAGCAGAGGCGGAAAGATCTCAGTAAACTTTTGGCTTATATTAGGCTACCTCTCCTTGCACCACAGGTAATTAATTGGCACTCGTCTACAGGTGTTTTTCTTTGGCTAGTCTGTCAAAGTAATTTATACACGTATTCCTGCGGAATGTATCAGTTAAAAGATAATAAACCAACAAAATGCTGCTTCTGTTTGCAGTTCAGAGGGTCAAGTTATCTAATTTACATTGATTGAGGAGCACTGTTGATTTCGAGTTAGCAATTTTATTGGACTCTACTATCAACCTGTCCTGATAACCGGAGGTAACTTAGTAATAAGAGCCAGAAATTCTAGATCAGCCCATTGCCGCATGCTGGTTAGGTACCGACTGGCCGCTGGGCTCTGACACCAGAAGCTTTGACTTGACTTGGCGTATTCTCTACCACAGCCTCCCATCTGGGAAGCAGGGATGGCAGGGATTCTTATCAAGCAGAGGTACCTCTTATCTGGCTGTCTCGGGATTATATAAGAGAAATGCAGTCTGTGAAACATAATGTGCTATAAATAATGCCATAGCTTCAAACTGAGGCCTCTCGCCAGTGTGTTCAGAGTCGTCAGTCATTACAGACTTGCACGATTTCCCCTCTGTGCAGTTTTCACTGGAATATGTAGGAATTTCCCCAGCATTTTCTCCTGCCTGTCTCGGGCATTGAATAGAGAAAGAGGCCTTGAGCGCAGAGGAGGTGAGAGCTCTCGCTGATTCAGGCTTGGCCTTCTTTTCTTTTCCTTATTATTTAAACTGCCACAGATACTGCCTTCTTTGTATTAATTTTGCAGCTAATGCATCATTTTTGGCTACCGTGAGCGGAAGTTTGCACTCTACCTAGCAAAACCAAAAGTCACTGCCAAGGCCTCGAGCTCAGCCCTCCCTGTTCACAAGCGGAACTGCCTAAGTGGATGGCAATTCAGGAAAAGCAGCGTAGTAAAGGATTTCTCTTGAAATCAGGTTTAAAGAGGGTCCTTAAAGTTTTCTTTCTTCCTAGCAGATATTCTTTCTTATTCTTTTCTGAATGAAAGAAAGTAAAATATGGAAGATCTTAGTGGGAAGATCCTGTTTAATCATATCCTGGAAATGTAGTTCAGTTCTGCAATTTAAAGGGCACTTCCAACATGGCAGGCCTCTCACCAACCTTTAAAACTCCTGTTCCCAGGAACTTAGGGACAGAACATTTCCCTGAGTCCTTAGAAAGATGGGAGATCATTAAGTCCAACACCTGGGACACAGGCAAAGCATTAGGCAAGTAAAACCAGATGTTCAGAACCACAGCTCCATACTACAACAGAGTAACTGTGCGTTTTTGTCTTCTCGACTGTGACTCTGCTCGCCCTTACTACTCGATTAACGTGGAGTTCCTGAGAGTCAGAGCTAGGATTTGAACCCACGTATGGCTCTGTGCCCATTCTCTGTGTTAAACACGCTGTGTATAAAATTGCAGGGTTTGGGTTAAGAAGGAAACCAGAGCCAGGCAGTGGTGGTGCACACCTTTTAATTCTAGCACTCGGGACCAAGGCCAACCTGGTCTACAAGAGCTAGTTCCAGGAAGGCTCCAAAGTTACAGAGAAACCCTGTCTTGAAAAAACAAAAATAAAAACAAAGAAGGAAACAGAATGCAAGCTAGGTATGGTTATAAAGTAGTAAGAAGAGTCTCTGAAGAGATAGGTGAATAAACGCAACATGGAAAAAATGAGTACCCCTCCCCCCCAAAAAGATGGCAGAGAACCAGAGTGAACTTCCTTAAATGTCATGTGATCTGCATCTTGTGTTAGCCACCAAAAGCATGGCGGCGGGGGCCGGGGGGACATGTTCAGGAAAGAGACCAGATTGTGCATTGGTGTGAAGCATACATTATGGGATTTGAAGAATGCTTACTTGACTGGAGCCCTAAAATAAAGAGGGGTGATATCAAAAGGTGAAATTAGAGAGGGACTTAAACCAGATTATGAAGAACCTCTAGTCATGCCAAGGAGTTGGGCTTTATCTTAAAAGCAATGAGGAATGATGGAAGGTTTTTATAATAGAAATGGCATTGCGTAATTCTGTTTGGGGGCAACAACTGTAAAGGCACTAGAGAATGAATCAGGTCTACACTAGAGACCTATGAGAAAGGCTGTCGGAGTTCAGCCAGGCGAAGAAGACACTCAGGCAGTGCCAGAGAGAAATTACCAGAAACTGACAAAACTTAATGACTGGGTGAGAAGAAGGGCACAATGTGATCCTATTTGTAGAATGAGGTTAATGAAGGTGATGTCATCGAGACAAGGGATAGAGTGAGCGGTATCATGTAGCGTTGGGGAGGGAATGGGAGAACCATTTTCCCAAAATTGCTTGGCACCTTACATCTTGAATCCTCAGAATTTTAAGAGAAAAAAAAAATGGGAAGACTTACCAGCATGTTTTAGCCCAAAGCAAAAGAATGATACTGGCCAGGGAGAATGCAAAGGTGCTAGGACTGGACCCTAGGAAACACTAAGGTTTAGTGGCCATAACCAACCTAACCAAGTGACTGGAGTTACTAGAACTTGATTCCATGGCTGAGGAGGAAGAAGTACTATGTCATCTGATGCTACAGAGAAGACAAGTAAGGAGGGGGGACTCAGTGGGTTAGCCAGTTGGTTCTTGAAGTATAGGACCCATAGTGCCTGTGAACTTTTGAGATGGACCCTAGAAAGGTGATTTGATAAGCCCTGCACTGATTCGGGTGCACCCTCAGGTTTGAGAACCCCTGTCCATGGTGGGTGGTAGTAATGGAAGAGCACATATGATTGAGTTGGCCGCAGTGCGCTGCTGCACAGTGTCAGCAGTCATTTCACCTCTCTGAGCTATGGTTTTCTTTCCTACAAGGAGAATACTGTATTGCAACACTTAGTTACTCTGTTGACAGAGTAACTAACACAAACACACACACCCCAAACACACACACCATTGGTAGCTTCCTGTATAAGTAGAATACATTGTAATTAGATTATATCCACTATTAGCCTCCTCCAACTCCTCAAGGACCACACACACAGACTATAACCACTGAGGACAGTTGATGCTGCCATCTGTGCACGGATATAGGACCATCCACTGGCCCATAGGCAATCTACTAGGCACTACATGGCTATAGGGAACTGACAGTGCCTTCCTCAGTGACTGTCATTTGCCAAAAGCCCCTCAGCTAAAGTAAGATCCTTGTGAGCCCCTCCTCCATCCTCACTGGAACCTTGATGGGCTTATTCTTGCAGAGATCTTATGCAGGCAAGCATAGACACGTTAGCACTGCCATGTCCAGAACTATTTTGTGGCAGTCTTCCCTGTCCTCTGGCTTTTATAGTCTTTCTGGCCCCCTTCCACAGTGTTCCTTGAGTTGTGGGGGGGAGGAGAAGTAATAAATTTCCCAGTGTGTGTCTGTGTGTGTGTGTGTGGTCTGTGTGTGTCTCTGTGTCTGTGTCTGTGTCTGTGTGTCTGTGTGTGTGTGTGTTATACAGGCCCCAATTAGGGATGAGTACTTGTGAGGTTTTTAGGTTTGGATTTGAGTTTCAGTGATGAAAGTGAAAAACAAAATTATAGAATTAGTTAGCAAGTAGAATTCTGAAGTTAGATTCGTATGTTTTACTTTAAAAGGTAGGGAAATATAACAATTGTTAAAATTGCCAAGTACTACTGAGTAATTAATGACTATTTTTAAAACTGTAATTAGGTATAGTAACCTAAAGAATTTACATTTGTGAAGTGGTATTTTCTCAATATCAAGTAAATGAGATTTTGTCATCAGTTTCCAAATATTAATTTTATTGTAGTGTTATCAACTAGATATTGTAAATGACGGGAGAAAAGATATATATAATTATGGTATGCTACCCAAGTGATCCTTTTTTTTTTTGTATATGGACTTGTGTGTATGTACATGCATGTGTGATGAGGGAGGGGCACACATTCCATAGTGTGCATGTGGAGGTCAGAGGAAAACTTCACGGGGCGTGTTCTCACCTGCCTTAGGTAGGTTCCATGGTTGGAACTCAGCTCATCAGACTTGCATAGCAAGGGTTTTACTCACTGAGCCATCTCATAAGATCCCCAAGTGATCTTTTGAAAATAAATTCTGCTTATATGTGTGTGCACACACTTAAGTGCTGTGTATACTTGCTTGTATGTATCCACACATCTCTGTAGATGCACACGCATGAATGTGAGCGCTTGTAGAGGCCAGGAGCCAACAGCACATGTCTTCTTGGTCACTCCTCACCATATTTTTTAAGACAGGATCTCTCACTGAATCCGGAGCTCATCCCTGTGGCCAGACTGATTGACCAGTGAGCTCGAGGGATCCACCTGTCTCCAGCCCACCCAGTGCTGAACTTATAGATCCATGACCTGGTACCCAGCTTTTGTGTGGGAACTGGAGATCTGAATTCAAGAGCATGGTTGTGTGGCTGACATTTTACCAACTGAGCTGTCTCCCAGTCTCCCAAGTGACCGTTTCGGAAGACACTGAATAATCAAAACAAGAAAGTGTTCGCAGTCATTATGTTTTACCCTTGCCTGGAATTCTTCTAAAAATGAACTCAATTCAAGAAGGAAAAAGGACTACAATTATTGGTGCTATGACAAGACAAACTTTAGAGTTGATCAAGTTTTATGCAATATGGATAAGTCGTTCTCTTTCTATATGTGTTTTGAGGGGACAGATTTCTAAAAATAGTCTTGAGAAACAACTACAAGGGTGCAGATAAGCTGAGTGGTGGTGGTGCACATCTTCAGTCCCAGCGTGTGGAAGGCAGGGGCAGGTGAATCTGCATTCGAGGCCAGCCTGGCTGCCTGGCTACAGAGAAATCCTGTCTCCAAAACAAAACAAAGGACACAAGAGTGAAGAATCTACACAATCAAAATGTCTCATTTTCCAGAGACTTTTATTTTAATGATTCGCCACTGATTATGGCAAACAGGCATTTGGAATTCATTAAAAAAGCAAAAGTGTATTAGAATCATATTTTATAGTTTAGCCAATCATAGTACTCTCCCAAACAATAGCTTACCTGCTGCACTATACTTGATTATTGTTGTTCATGAATTAATTGCTTTATAATTTTTATATTCTCCATTTCTTTACTTAAATTCACTAATCTAGTTTTAATAAACTACAGAACTTATAAGCATGTTAAAAAATATGTTTTACTTCAAATTGCAGTTCCTATAAAATCTCCTGAGACTTTACTGCCTGCCTGTGTTTTATTTCACATTTATTTTTATTTAGAAAGCACTAAGGTCATTATATCAGAATTAATACTAGCACTAACAGTAATCTAAATGAGCCAACTCCATGCATATCCACTAATGGCTTCTGTGCTAAGTTTATGTTTTGTGTTCATGGGAAAAGCTGGTCCAGGTCATGAGACTTGTGTCTTGCTGAGATTATTTTTCTTTTGGCTTACAACACATGCTTACCAAATGCCACAGGCTTTTTGTTGTTGTTTATTTGTTTTGTTTTTTGAGACAGCATTTCTCTGCGTAGCCTTGGCTGTCTTGGAACTCACTCCATAGACCAGCCTGGCCTCAAACCCATAGAGATCCACCAGATCTCTCTTCAGTTATCAAAGCCTACACATATTCTCAGCATTGTTAGCCATTAAGGAAATGCAAAGGAAAACCCACTTTTCTGCTTCTCCAGCTGGCTGACCTGGGCACGGTGGGGAGGGTGTGTGGAAAAGGAAGCCTCGCAAGGTGCTAGTGGGGACGGGAGTGTAGTGCAGACACTTTGAAAAGCAGTTTTGAGGTTCCTTTAAAGTGAAGGATGATTTTAGCTAGTTATCCACCCACGAGAAATCAGCATATCCCCACACAACGATGAGCACTGTTTATAGTATTTCCACACAGGAAGCAACCTGAGTGTCCATTAGTTGCTGGATGGATGGAGTGGAACAGAGCCAGTAGAATAGTATTCAACAGCAAAGCAGCAAAACTGATACATGCTACACCACGGACAAGCCGAAAGAATATGCTGAATAATATAAGCAAGACATAGAGGGCATGTATGATTTTGTTTGTATGAAATACGCAGACAAGGCAATCTGTATGGATAGATTAATGTTTGGGGCAGGAGGTGGCAGATGGATATGACAATTAAGAGAAACTCTGGGATCTACCTGAGTGAAAGAAATGCATCAACCCTGTCCACTTGGTACATTTACTGAACGTCAACTCATTGGATTACATATGGTATGTACCCTCTGCCCAACAGGCTAATTAATAGGCTATGGTTACACTGTTTTAAAGGGTAATATACTCTGGCCAGGGAAACTTTTCCAAGAACAACAACAAAAGAACAATTAACAGGGAATCTATCAGGAAATCATTACATCACTAGTTTAAAAGAAAAAATAATATGATCTTATAAATAGATCTGTGAAAGACGTTTGAGGAAAAATCGGTGCCGATTCTTAATTGGAACACTAAAGCAGGGGAAATGGAGGCAGCCTAAATCAAACTAGACCACACAAGGCTGTAGCGGCTACAGTCTGAAACAGGAAAACACTAATACCTGCTGAACGCCCGCCAGAAGCAGAGAGGTTCCATTTTACCCAGTGATTCACTGTTACATTGAAAGTTCGGGCAGTATGATAAACCCATTAGCTGAACTAACTGGTGTCCACCCAGAAAAAGATGCCAGACTATTCCTAGTCGGAGAAGAGTGAGGGGACAGAGCTGGAGCACAGTGAGTCTGGTAAAGTGCCAGGCTGAAGTTCAAGTCACAATAATCAGTGAAATGGGCAATAAAAATAATTACATGTGTAAGAATAAAGTTAATAACACGAAGGCAAAGACAGTAAAGAAAAATCATACAAGTGAAAAGGCCCCTTAAATAGAAAGACCTAATATCATAAAGTGTATATTCACTCTAACTAATAAAAGCATTTTGGTACAGTTCACGCCAAAAAGCCAAGATAATAAAAGATAGCTAGATGATTCTTAAATTGACATGGAAAACTAAACCTGAGATATCCAAGAAAGCCATGAAACTTGATGAGGGGAGACTAAACATACCAGATTTCAGAACATGCTAAGAAGGCATTAATGATCTAGTTGTGGCAGCTCCTGCCTATAGTCTCAGGACCTAGAAAGCTGAAGCAGGAAGACCAGAAGTTCAGGGTCAGCCTGGGCCATAGATTGAGTTCAAGGCCAGTCTATGTGAGTTTCTGCCCCAGAAACAACACACACAGGGCAGGGGAGCGTGATGTACACCTTTAGTCCCTGCCCTCAGGAGGCAGAGGCACGGATAAGCTGGTGCCCCTATAATTTCAATGCTGAGAGGCTGAGACAGGAGAATCTGGAGTTCATTACTAGCCTGGTCTGTATCATGAATCCCAGACCACCCAGGGCCACATAGTAAGACCCTGTCACAAAACTAAAATAAAATCCCTGAAATAAGCCAATCAGTAGAACAAAACAGTGGATTAAAAAGCATATCTTACGCCTTTATTGTACAGATATCCTGTTCTTTCCTAGTTCCTGGCAGACATGGAGAACAATGCACTTTTTCGGGATGACATAGAATGTCAGAAGCTCATTATGGAAGCAATGAAGTACCACTTATTACCTGAGAGACGACCCATGTTGCAGAGTCCTCGGACGAAACCTCGCAAGTCAACTGTTGGAACACTGTTTGCAGTTGGCGGGATGGATTCAACAAAAGGTATTGGATAATCTTTGATCTAGAGGAACAGAGGGTGATACATCCTGCTACCAAGAGGTCCTGCGGAGAAATGGCTGGTTCAGGGACAAGGACGGGAAAAATGAGCCTGGAAGACAATTCTAGTGCCAGAAGGTGTTCAAGGAATGGTAGGGGGCAAGTCAAAAGACAGAGAAGCCATCTTGTTGGGAGAGTCCATTGAGTTTAAAGTCATTTGAGCATCTACGTCAGCAATTATAATAAACAAAGATAACATAAACTCCAATACTCCACAAGTTCATAGAGCCGCACAGAAAGAAAGGAAAGCTGTTTCCTCAGCATAGTGCCAACTGATAGAGAAAGGAAAATGAGATTAGGAAAAAGTAGTTAGTTTGGGCTAGGAATCTAGCTCAGTGAGAACACTCACTTCACATGCGTGATGCATTGGGTTCAGTCCCCAGTACTCACGCACACGCGCATGCATGCTTGCACACACGCACAAGTAAGCAGAGAAGGAAAGAAAGGTTATCCATTTGGCAGCCACCAAAATAAGACATCTCTAATCTGAAATTCAGAAATTCTTGAAGAAGACATGATACTCAAAAAGCTTCAGATTTTGGAGCATTTATCTCCTGGCTTGGTTGTTATAAAAGATAAAATGGTGTCTTTCCAAGTACTGAGAACTGGCACACAACACTTAACCAAGTGACCGAAACTAATGTTGCCAGTGATGAATCCAAGCAGCGAATGCCCCGATAGGACCCTCTCTTCAGAAGTCAGCAGCCCAAAGCATCACCTAAATCATGGGGAAAACACAGATTCAGACTGGGACCCACAGAATAACTTGTCTGTCTGTAGAATTAAAAAATATGCTGATGCCTTAAATATACCTCAAAATTCAGACTTTAGGGGCTGGAGAGACGACTCAGCAGTTAAGAAGCAGCCCTTGGGGCCACTGCAGAGGATCCTAGTTTGTCCCCAGCACCCACATCAGATGGCTCACAACAACCTGTGACTCAGTTTCAGGGCATCTGACACCGTCCAGCCTCAGAAGACACCCACACAAGTGTGCATGTGCATACATAGAGAGAGGCACATGCACACATACACATAATTTTTAAGAAATCTGAGGAAAGATCTGACTTGATTACATATTATGTGAGCATAAAGGAAAAATATCACTACTCTAATATATTTGTCTTGGTTTTTTTTTGTGGTTGTTTTGTTTTGCCACAGAAGTCATGATCAAGAGTGATGACAAGATGTTAAATAGTAACTCTGTAAATGTTAATTTCCAGATGTTGATGGTTGTATTATAGATTTTAAAGAGAATTTCTTGTTCCAAAAAAGATATGTTAAAATATTTAGGACTACAGGGTCATCGTTTCTGTGATTTACTCTTAAACAATTGAGAAAAATGCATGCATGCATACATACATGCATAGAAAAGAAAGCTAAACATGAACGTTTGGAAACCTTGGTTAAGGTGACTGGCAATTCATTGGACCATTCTGTCAACAGTTGTCACTAGTGATTGAAGACCACACATAGTGCCATAGGCTGTCAGTTGTTATGGGAGCTTACTGTATATTTGAAAGCTCATACATATCTGCCCATGTTCCTAGAGCTAGCTAGTGTCTGCAGGCCCAGGTAAAAAGCCCTCTGACTTCCATAGACTCCTCTGGTCCTTCTCTTGCCCCTGTTCCAACCCCATTGGCCAACTTGCTCATCTAACATGCCAAAACATATTTCTACATACCAAGGATGCCATGTTAGGTGTTCCCATCACTTCCCTCTGACAGTGACGTTACCCCTCACTCAGACTTCCTCTCAAATGTCAACTTGCCACAGAGGCTTCCATGACTTTTGGGTAGCGGCCTCTTTCTTGTCTACCATTTTCAAACCCTTTCCCACCTTTTTTTAAAATCTCATTACTCTGAGTTACATTTCTTCACAGTATCTGATACATTTATTTATGGTCTCTTTATCTCTTCCTACCCCTAGTAAGTAAAAAAGCACAGGGATTTTGCTCATTGAAGCATTCATATTAATATTGTTAATAATACATAGGACTTGGAGTAATAATTTGCAGGTAGATGGTACCCCCTAAGTATTTGTCTAATGCCTTTGTTGTCTCTTGAATTACTTATATGACTAAAGCTCTCGGTGCATTTGTCACATTTTAGTATTTCTCCTTTGTGTGGTAACTTTAGGGAATATGAAATCATGCGCTATATGCCCGATTGTTTCTTAACTAAAGGCTCATGGATGGAGACTGTAAGTCTATACTGAGCCAGAGGGTAGGTCAGTGGTAGAGTGTTTGATCAAAAAATGCAAGGTCCTGGGTTCAGTACACAGAAACACACACGCACACACACACACACACACACACACACACACACACACACACACATATAGAGTTTTTTAAAAAAATGTATTTTCTGTGTATGGGTGTTTTGCCTGCATGTCTGGCTGTGCACCATGTGCATGCAGTACCTGTGGAAGCCAGAAGAGGGCAGTATATCCTCCCCCATCCCCAATCCCAGCCACCCTGAACTAAAGTTATTGACAGCTGTGAGCTACCATGAGGATGCTGGGAATTAAACCCAGGTCCTCTGGAAGATCAGTCAGTGCTCATAACCACTGCAAAATCTCTACAGCCACCCCAACACGCATCCAAGCTTAAAGATATACATATGTTTTATTATTCTAGATGTTTAAAATTTGAGTTTCCAGTTTATAATAAAATCTTACTACTTCATAAACTAGGTCTAAAAGAGGACATAAGATTTAAGAGGAGGGCTGAAGAAATGGCTCAGCTGTTAAAGGCTGGGCTCACAACCAAAAATATAAGATTTAAGAGGAAAAAATAGTTTGAAAATTTATCAATGAAGAGTTTTATTTGATGGAAGGCAATTTTTATTTTATTTTGATTTACCTGATAGAAGATTTTAAGGTCATGGCTGGAGTAAAGAATCAAGTGCTATAATATAATTTACATATATGCATAATCTAAGTATATGAATAAAATATCATTATTGCCAACAGTTACAAAGAAAGATTATGCAAATAAATTTTTTTTAAACCAATTGGTATTTAGAAACAATTCTGTTTGGTGGTATAAGAATACAAAGCAGGGGGCCTGGAGAGATGGCTCGGTGGTTAAGAGCACTGGTTGTTCTTCTAGAGGACCTGAGTTCAATTCCCAGCACCCACATGGCAGCTCACAGCTATCTTTAATTCCAATTCCAGGGGATCTAACACTCATGACAAAATATCAATGTGTATAAAATAAAAATAAATTAATTTTAAAAATAGAATACAAGGGTGGTCTGGGCAGTGGTGGCGCACGCCTGTAATTCCAGCAGTTGGGAGGCAGAGGCAGGTGAATATCTATGAGTTTGAGGTCATCCTGATCTACAGAGCAAGTTCCAAGACAGGCAGGGCTACACAAAGAAACCCTGTCATGAAAAACAAACAAACAAACAAAAAACAGAAGAAGAAAAAGAAGAATATAAAGATGGAAAGAGATTTGGTATTAATCTCAAATAACTCAGAATTGTAGAGGATAAGCAGTAACTCTAAGAACATATCGTGTCCATGTGTAGAACAAAACTGTAACAGTAACAGTGGCTCTGATGGTCACTTACAGCCTGCGGAGTAAGTGTTCCCTGCGCTGGCCTCCTCTATAAGGCTACAGCTGGCTGTCAATTAGCAATTTAAAGAGAGAAAGGGACTCAAACTCTACATAATTGGACATTAATTTTTGGTGGGTTTTTTTTTTCCTTGTTTGTTTGTTCCACTTTCTTTCATTTGTTTTCCTAAATCACCACTGGTCCCACATCTGAAGAGAACAAAGAGTTCTAGAATTTTCCAGAAGTAAACCCTTTGGGCAGTAACCCCCATCACTACCCGAATGACAGTCCAGTTCCCGAATGACCTTTGTCCTTCCTCCTCTCTGGGTGCCCCTCCCGCCTATGGGAGCCAGCCCCATGCACTGTGTTTTGTTGTTATGCTCTTTCCCCCTTCCTCCGGAATGTCACGTAATAAATGTCTCCTTAATCTCTTGTGCCATCAGCTTCCTTCCTCTCAACTAGACCCTTTCCATTTTACATCAGTAAACCAACTCTACAGTCTCGGTTAACAGGAGACAAAGCCTCCTTCCCTCTACCTAGGAATCCCTGTGTGCACATGGCCAGGCTTCTCAGAGTCATCCTCTGTGGGCTCGCTGCCTGCTTTTCCTCACCACATCAGCCACCCAAATAAGGAACTCTCTCTAACTCCTTGGTGACCTCCATGCAGCTCAACCCTGTGCTTACTTTTTATTTGTTCCTCTCGGTGCATTTGACGTTGTCAGCGGAACTGGCTGCAGTAAACTCTTGTTTCTCTGGCTTCCCTGGTGCTAAACTCCCCTGCATGTCCTCCCACTTCTGTGTGTCTTCTCAGCCTCTGTGAACAGCGAACCTCGTGTCGGACCTTTTACTACTGGAGGAGAACAACAGGAGAGAAGGTCATGGGGGGTAGGCAGCGGCCATACTGCTGGGGCTTCATAGGACAGAATAAAAGTATTGCTGTTGATGCTAATAAAAACCTATATGCTTGGGGGCTCGGAAGATGGCTCTGTTGGTAGTGATTTTCCTTACAAGCATGAGGACATGAGTGTAGATCCCCAGAAACCACATACATAGCTGGCACACATGTGTAACCCCAGTGCTGGAGAGACAAAGACGGGTAGGTCAACCTAATCTAACCAAAACAGTGAGCTCCACGTCAGCCAGCCAACCTAACCAAAACAGTGAGCTCCAGGTTCAGCCAGC